ATATTGAATTTTTATTAAAAATAAATTAAATAAATAATTTTTTTTACACCTAAATGATTTAGCGGGGCTTTAAAATATTTTAGGGAGGCTCCAGCCCCCCTAAAATAGGCCTAGTGACGCCACTGCTTGTAGGCAAGAATTCATTTAATAAAAAAGGGTATATAACGTGTTTTAAGGTAAAAGGAAAGCAGCATGACTTAAATGCTGGTAATTTTCCGGATTGGAAATTTTTGATCCTCACAATTTTCAGGCCTCTTGGAGTAAATGATGTGGATTTTTTTTATTTCCTCAGTTAAAAATAACTAAATAAATAAAACTGTAAATATTTTACACATAGGTCCTGAGCTAAGTTTTAACAACAGCTTAATATCAAAAAAGGTTCAAGTTTACAGATACAGTCACTGTTTTCAATTAAGGAAAATATTGTTTAATATGCAGGTTTTAAATGACAATCATTTATTTACAGTGATGTGTAACTGAATGCAATATAATAATTATTTCATCCTAGAAATGGTCCTGAGCCCACTGATGTCTATAACAAATTTAGACCTGTTTTTAATGCAGAACCACCTGAGGATCTTCAGCATTGTCCTTTCAGCTCTGAGATTTCTCCAGATTCTTGAATCTTCTGATTACTTGATCTAAAATGTCATCTCACTGATCTGTTTTATGTATAAAATTTAGGTAAATTAGATTTTAAAATCATCATATTGTTTTTAATATTGCATCTAAACCAGCCAGTTTACTATTTTCAACAATACCGAACCAAGACTGAACAATGAGCGCATCACTTATTTAAAGAAGTAAATAAAGACACACTGCCTGCCTTTACCTCAAAACTTTTAGATACAGTAAAAAAAAAAAAACATTTTAATCCCAAAAYTTAGCCTAGGTAATTTAAAACAGCAACAATTGCACAGAACACAAAGGTTCTTTTCAATTATTATTATTAAATTTTGATATATGAGCAGCTTATGGGACATACCACCTGGTCAGTTGACATTTTCAAAACAGTTCATAAAACAATAAATATCAGCCAAAAAATAGAATAAAGTGCAAATTTTCTTTTTATTCTGATTTCATTTTACAGCAGAAATTATGTAAAGCATTCAGAAGACATATTCCACATATAAGGGCAATATTCAAAACACTTTGCATGGCCTCAGCAACAAAATATTCTTTTAAAAACATCAACAAGTTAGTGATGCTTGTGCATGCATGTTTGTAAAACAAAGAAAGATTAAAAACTAGGCTACAAAGAAAGGAAACTAAAAGAGAGGAATGAGCGGCTGAGATAGGCATGGAGAACACAACGGCAGGCAGGGTGGTGATACAGCAGGAGATATGTGAGAGAGAGAGAGAGAGAGAGAGAGAGAGAGAGAGAGAGAGAGAGAGAAAGACAGAGGGTGAAAGTGGAGGAAGGCAAGGAGAGGTCTAGCCATAGAATATCTATAAGGGTCTACCATTCTAGCATGCAATGTGGTGTTTGGCCACGCCCTCTTGAAACAAGGCCTGAAAGGTTCTACGTTTCATTTCTAGGCGGACTCAGAAGAACAGAGGTCATCTCTGTGCACCTGTTATATGGCAACATTTCTTACTTTTTTTTTCATCGGAACAAACACTCTCTTTTCACAATAATCACCCTCTCTAAAAACACAAACTTATAGATGAACTGTCTGCGATGTGAGTTAGTACTTTGTGTGTATTGTATTGTGTGCACTGTATATGTTGATGAACATTTAGATGTCCGTGTGCCTGTTTGTGAACATTTTGTATATAAAGGTGTTCAGAAAAAGTAATATTTACTTTAGCTGAAATCTGAGGAAGGACGGGAAGTTTTAATCTGTTTAATATCCAGGAAACATAAAGGGCATAATGTTTCAATCCAATCCTTCATGATGATAAAGGATTGCCGTGTACTTTTAAATTATTAAAACTACCTAACTACAATACTAATCATTTTAATACCCAATATAAAGTAATATTTCAGATCATTTAAAGTGGGGTTCTGTGGAGAAAGAGCTTAAATGTGATCAGATGAGCTAATGGCTAAGATCATGGTGGAGTGTTGTCGCTTTTAAACAACTCATCTCTAAAATTTCATAAAATTGCTATTTAATAAACCTTTACCTTTTCAGCAGAAATATTAAAACATTCATGCCTAAAGTGCCCCCAGGCTGCACCAGAAGTGCTACAGCTATCTGCCACTGCTATTTGTGCTTGCTTTTAAATATTTAATAGAAACATAAAGGTTTATGAGATTGGATCCTGCCAGAATTACGCTTTATTCACACAAACTGCAGTTCAAAGAGCTATCTAAAACAGGTAAGATATTAACTGTTCATAACCTAGCCACAGAACTCTGCTTTGAAAGATCTGAACTATACTTTTAAGGATTTTGTATGTTTTCAGAGAATTGTTTTGAATCCATGAACTAAACAACTTGGAGGCATTTTCTTTTTCTTTTATGTCCTGGCTGGGTTTTCCTGCACCAGATTTGTTGCTTTACTAAATAAAACAGAAGGTTTTAAGAAGGTTAGTGTCAAACACAAACACATTAAAAGCTGCAGGTGCTTAATAATAAATGAGCTGTACAATTTCTAACTGTTTGCACATACATACATATACCCAAATGTACACAGCCACCAGATGTGCCAGCAGTTTCTCACACACCACATACCGTCTCTCCCTGTTCTTCAGCCCTGAGTAAAATCTAAGGGAGATATTTCATCGTGTTTCACAAAAAAAAAAAAAAAAAAAAAAAAAAAAAACACACACACACACGAGCAAAAAGAGTGTGGCAAGCGCTCGTGTGCCAGACTATGTACATTTGTGTTCGACACTGTATGCGTGGGTTTACACGTGCGAGCACATCTGTGTGGGTCACTGAAAAAGACAAGAGAAATAAAATGTTTATCAAAGTTATTTAGTCTGCTGAGATATGCTGTCATTTTCATTCCGGAGAAACAAAAAAAAACCAAGCGAGAGGCAAAACACATTGTCCTCCCAACAGTGATGCTGTGAATAGACTCGTGACAGTGCCTCTCATACACCGAAGCAGAATTCAATGGGTTTCTTCCTCTAATACTGCAAAATACACACAAAGGTGGTGCGTACAGTGATACTGTCGTTTTGTTGTTTTGTCAAATAAARCAACACATAAGCATCAATTAGGCCAAGAGCAATCATTCATACCAGACAAATTAGAGCTTCAAACATAGAATTAGCTCAAGTTCAACACTGTCAAGTTAATTTCGAACATATAATTTAGGAAAATAAACAAATAACTGGGAACGCCTTGGAGAATATACAGTAGTGATTTCCTGATATTAGTTTTCTGTTGTTGAGCAGGCACTTTCTAAACAGCTTTCCAGATGTCTAAAATACATATCATATATTTATGGCAGTGACAATGAATTGAAAAAAACAAACAAACAAACAACAAAATAAATAAATAAATAGTGGGTAGGAGACATTCTGTTTGAAGGTGGAAAGCTTTGACTGGAGGCCAGGCTGGATCTGTTGTACGTCTGATTGATGGACCTAATAAAAGCGAGGATGTTGCTGAAACACAACCACATTGTAAAGGATGAAGCACCCTCTTTTTTTTCTTATGCATTCACATTTAAACTCCCCTGTCGTCGTTACTAGCAGTGCCATTATTTKAAAAATATGTGCATTAAAACCATCATCTGTGATTTAGTCTGCCTCGAACAAATTTCAGAACCTGCAGGTCTACGCCCAAACTAGCACTAGATCTCTTCTACTGTTTAAACATCTGTGCCTCTGTGGATCTTACTAACTTTTGGTGGGAGGGTTGTTTTTCCCCCCCAAACGTAACATACCGTGTTGTTAGGCAAAAACAGCATTCATATTTATTGGCACTACTGGCAAAAAGGGTTTAATTTTCGCTAGCCATGAAACAAAAGCACAAAGTTTAAATGTTTATTCTGAAAAAAAAATCATGGTTTCAGCTTACTTTGTTTTCCCACTTATAAGTCTAACGTTAGAGTTTTCGTTTTGCATGCTTTAACAAAATGTTCTTTTCAGTAACACTTAATGCTGGATATTTTTTAAAGTGAAGCAGTTAAAATCCTCTCACAGTCCGTAGCCACTACCGTGTTCTTTTAGTCGTTTCTTTGTCTTAAATCTCATGCACGTCACTCCGTTTGTAATATCTACAGTATTTACAAGCAGTACAGCCGTCCTGTCTCCAGGTCTCTGTCTAAAGTTCTCATTATGGGAGTAAAATAATTTATAATCTTAAATACAGTCCTCTTATGAAAAAAGTTTCAGGGTCCTTGTATCCCCTTACCTCGTCAATTTATRTACAGAAATATGCAATAGTCCAAAATATGGATTTGATCGCCCGTTTGGGCTCATATGGGGACCAGTGCCCTTCATATGGGGCAGGTGTAGGACCCGTGTCCTGTACAGAGCAAGCATAGAGACCTCTCAGAGTCAAGAAGAAGTCAAGGCAATGGTTTGTGACTCACTCCTAAGATTTGGAGGTTCACGCAGAACAAACTAACAGAGACATTTAACCCTTGGAACATGTCGTATTTTTTTTTTATCACACGGGAAGAGGGGAGGGGGTGGGAAACCAGTCTCAAGCTAAACCACTCTTGAGCCAGTTAAAGAAAGAATTAGACCCTTAAATAAATAATTAAATAAATAAGTAAAGCACCCAAAAGAAGTCATTTGTCCTTACACAGTTCACATTACACAGGGCAAGGATAGGTCGATGAAGACATGAGACACAATTACACATAGAAATACAAAAAAGAAACAACATTAAAGCAGTTTGGCAAGCATGCAGGAGCTCTTAGCTCAAACACATGCATCGAATTGAACAAACACGGACACACCACGTCAGGCGAGCAAAAATGCTGCCCTTAAGAACGACTTCATACAAAGTCCATGTAGCAAATTAAGACATCGTTTTTCAGACCACTTCCCCTTATCTAACAATCCTCCTCTTACATTCAAGTGCAGTTCCYCCCCCCACTTTTTTTTTGATTGGGTGACAAATAGGTTTGTAAGCCTGTGGATCAGAGTGCTTGGTGATATCGTGAAATACTGAATCAGCAGAATGAGTTGCCTCTATAGCTTTGCAGGATGATGGAGAGGAGGAATAAGCGGAAAAAACCTTGCATGCAAATGCAACATAGAAGTGAGTTTTTTGGTTTATGTTTTTCTTTTTCTTTCACAGATCTCTGTTTGGATACAAAACACGCCAGGTATTGTATATTTTCTGCATGTCAAAGTAGCTTTTCTCTCGAGCCGGCTGTTCCTCGTCGGAGTCGTTCMGCACACCCAGCTGCTGTTTTGAACAGCAGGACGCCGTCTTCAGGCACTTCCTCCATTTTATTATTATTATTATTTTTTTTTTAAACTTGTCTGACTCGTCGACTTGCTCTTGCAAAGAAACATACCCATGAAGAGTGCAAAGAATGCCATGAGGTTAATGTGATGGCCTCCCAGTTAAACTGTGGAGGAGGATCAGTGCTGTGGGCAGAGCCAGGTTCCTCGGCTCTGCCCAGCAGTCTGTCTGTCTGAGCTGCCATGATGGACTCCTATCCTGTCCTCAGTCTGGGAAGAGTTTTTTTTTCTCCTCTCTTGAGAGAAGAGGGCAGGGCAAGGGAGAGAGGGGCGAGGAGGAAAGAAGAGGAAAGGAGGAGGGGCCGGGAAATGGAAAAGAGAGTGAGGGTTGAGGAGATGGGAACAGGGTAGGTATAGATCGCTCACAGGCTGAGGGGGCTGTGGGCGGGGCCTGATGATGGGCTCTCACGACCCCTGGCCTTTCTCTGCTCTCTGGCCCTGTGGAGAACCAAACATACATTAGCTACAGAGTCAAAAATACAAGCCTATTTATGTAACTCAACATCTTCTTTCCAAGTTTACACCCAGAGGCAACATTCAGAGCAAATGAAAGTTATTCAGCAAACCTTTGATCCCCATCCTCAACATACAAACACGCACACTCAAATCCTGTTATCTTCCCCACCCATCGAGGCACAGAATAAAAAAAAAGAAACGGCAGGCCAAGCAACCCTCAGAGTCCCGCAGTGATAACAGTCAGAACATGCCCCCCAAGAAGACCATATAAGAACTGCTCCTTTAGCTGTCAGTCATGCAGTTACTGACACCACCGAGCAGTTCTCAGAGAAACAAAGGGAGTGAGGACGAGAGCAGGAGGGAGGGATGATATTCCAGGGACTCCTCCTCCTCCTCTCCCTCTGCTGTCATGCAAACAGGCATCAGCCTCTAGAAGAGAGGGAGCAAGAGGGGACTCACCTGTTTCAGAGGCCTGTGGTCCATCAAGGGGCTTCACAGGAACAGCAAAACAACACCAGCTATTAGCACCACTGTAGTGTGTGTTGGTGTGTCAGTGGGCGGTGAGTGTGTGTAGCAGGTGTTTAATTGTGTGCCTTTAGAYGTGTGTGTGAAGGTGCGTTTGACAATGGGTCTCACCTGTGGCGGCAGCGGAGCAGGAACCTCAAGATCTTGCGAGCAGCCTGGTTTTGTTTTTTAGTTAGGAGGCTGCTGTAAGCAAACATGTGCGTGTTAGAGATTTTCTTTTAATCACCTGCTGTAAACAATCCCAGAGTTTTTTTTACTTGTGTGTGTGTGTGTGTGTGTGTGTGTGTGTGTGTGTGTGTGTGTGTGTGTGTGTGTGTGTGT